ATAATTTATAACAAATTCTTTTATCAATAATAAAATCTTTTACTGTCCATTTACCTCGGTGAGATCCATAAAATAACATACGAAAGCAATAACATCATCATCATCATGAAATTATATATAAACTGTATAACATAATACTTATCAAGCCTTTCGTAATTCAATCGTTACACAACATATTTTTTCTCTTTTACCAGCCCACTAGTATCCATGGGGATCCATAGGGGTCCCGCTACCCGTTAACCCTTAACACTTGAAATCATATTCCAGGGCCGTCCCCATACCCCGTCCGGTATGGGCGTCAAAACTATAAACCTCATTACCCCGTCCGGTATGAGGGTGAAACGGGCCATCCCCATACCCTGTCCGGTATGGGCGCCAAAACACATAAGATCTCCATACCCCGTCCGGTATGGGAGACCACAATCCCGGTAGGGTTCTCTACGGATCCGGTCCGTCCACCATCTCCCAGGATATCTAGTCAGGCTGACCACGTTATACAATTACCCATTTACATAATCTTTCATTATCTTTTTCCTCAGTCAGCATCATCAATCCACATACAAACAAGCAAAACAGTAATTTATGCCCAACAGACAACATACAGCATCAATATCCTAGTCATTCAATCCATAATCAATAAAACAGTACAATATGCACACGAAATTATAAAATGAAAACATCAAACCTCATACTGCATTTAAAACTGTAAAACATGCCAAATAACAGTTAACCGACAACCACACTAGACTCGGGCTCCATTAGCGACCTTAAGCAATTTCACACATTCGTTGATTCATAAAATACCATTTTATCATTTATTGAACTTTAATACCGTGATAGGAAATAGGGTGAGGGGTCTTTACTCGTTTAGGGGTCCGAACACGGCTTCACAGTGCGCCTACAAGCTGTCCCCAATTTTCCCTAAATTTTTCCCGGGGCACTGAAACGCACTACTGGTACCTGCACGTGTTCCAAAAAATCCCAAATTAGGTCCAGGGCCCCTTTCGGCCAATATTGCAACTCCGGCACGGCGGCTCCGCCGTGCTCCGGCAACGGCACCGCCGCATGCGGCGGCGATTCGCCTCGGGTTGGCCGTTTTCGGCCGTTTCCAGCCGAATTCGGCCACACTCGCATTGGTTTCTGTGAATAAACAAACCTACGGCCCTCGGGGGGCCAGAAAACTACGGAAAATCGAAGCTTACCGGCGGCAGTGCTCTCGGGTGCGGCGGCTCTCCGGCGAGGTTCGTCTTTTGGTGATTCGGCTCCGGTCAACCTGTAGAGAAAAGAATGGTGATCACGGTGATATAAAAATTGCATCAAACGGAGGCCGGGAAGGGCCTCATCGGAGGCAAAAATCGAGGAGGGGCGCGGCGGCGCCGCTGGCTTTCGGCCGTATTTTCCGGCCGTTTGGCCGGGATTTTGGCTCTGATTTGGCCACAGGGGAAATCAGCGTGGAAAAACGAGTCAAGGGTATGAAATTTACCTCGATCGGCGGTCGAAAATCTCCCCGGTGCGGCGGCGGGCGGCGGCGGTCGGCTTCTGGTTCGTCTTCTCCGGCGAGGGCAGGCGGCTAGGGTTTTGTGGTCTGGTGTGGGGGTTCTATTTATACCATTTTGCCTTTTGATCTCAACCGTTCATTTTGTTTTAATCTGGGCCGTCCGTTTTTTGATTGAATCTGGGCCGTCCGATCGCGCGTACGCGGATCGCCAACGTGGCCCTTCCCCGGTCGACGTGGTTTTGCCACGTGGCAGGTCCTGGTTGGTCAGGACTGCTGACTGGGTCTGCTGACGTGGCTGTTGACGTGGCACACATTTTTTTTTTCCCTCTTTCCGGGCATTACACTGACTACTTGGCGAATCAGACCTTTATTTGGCCCCTTAAGAATTATCACTTATAACTCCCTCCCGAGGAATTTCTGAGTATCACGAGAGAAGATATCATTGGAGTTTCTTTCCTTAAGATGTGCACTATCTAGGGACAATTTTTGTATTACGTTGTTTTTTTTCTTATATATAAAAAAAAATAATAACATAAAAATATTCAATATGACTTGCATATGGTAATAAAAAAAAATAATTGAGTATTAATACAAAAAAAAAAATTGAAATTGTCATCTAAATTCGACTTAGTTGGATTATTGAGCCTCCGCATGTGTTATGAAAATACCATATTTAATTTTATGTCATACTAAAACAAGTAAATTGAACTATAGAATTAAATATATTTTATTTATTCATAAAAAAGAATCACATTGTAACGGAGATTAATAGATTAGTAATTATATAAATTACATATGTAAGTATCTAGATTATTAAAATAATAATAATTATAGAAATATATTTTTTAAATAATATTATTTTTTAATAAAGTCAATTTAAAAACCTCAGTCTAATTAATCAAAGTAAATTTCAATAGACAAATCATATTTTGGAGTGATTATATATATATATATATATATATATATATTTTTTTTTTTTTAAAAAAAAAAAAACACTACATCCCAACATTAAAAAAACATTTGATTTGGAAATGCAAAAATTGCTGACTAAATAATTTTATTTGTTTTCAAAAACAATAATAAAAATGTAGTTGACTATGTATTTTTGTATTATATGTATCAACCAAAAAAGAAAAATAAATAATAATAATAATATAACGACTAATTATATTTCAACCAAGCATATTTAAATAATAATAATAATAATAATAATTAATATCTTTATAAATTTTTACCATATTAAATAATGCAATAATATTGGAATAAAAAATATTATTAGATAACCCATATCAGTTTAAATAATTAAATATTAATATCAAATAGAAAATAAATTTTAATTTAGAAATTAAAATCATACTATTATTTAATATTTAATACGGTTCATAAATTTATATCAGTAAACTCGCGCGCGTGACTCACACTCACCATTTTCCCGCGGATGTTTCCCGCTACTTCTCACTGGAATTTTCTCGCCGAAGTAAACTGTTTCTCCCAGATTTTTCTCTCATTTTCTTGGTCGGTGAAACTCCATGAACTCTCGAGATCTCGGAGTGGTCTCCACGGCCACGATCTTTGGTGCTTTAGCTTCAGCACTTGCTTTTCGCTTCTTCTTCTTAAACCCTAAGTGGCATAACTCTCACAGAACCGCTTCATCTCAAAACGGCGTAGTTTCCCCGAAATTATCCTCTCTGGACCCTTTCGATCCTTCGAAACGCAAAGGGTATGTGAATTCCTGTTCTTGTTTTTCCTAGCTCTCAAGAATGGTCTGTTTACTTATTTGAATTTGTCCGATCGCAGATACTTATCATGGGACGATTATTTTATGGCAATTGCATTTTTATCGGCTGAGCGGTCCAAAGATCCCAACAGGCAGGTCATATTTTCTATTGTTTTAGTTTACTGTTCATGTAAATTGCTGTCTGTTTTTTTTTGCAATGATGAAGTGATTGGAAATTGGCATCTCCTATTTGGTTTTTTCAGGTGGGTGCCTGCTTGGTGAGTCAAAATGGTGTAATTCTTGGTATGATTGTCTGGCATATAATTTACAGCCAAAATAATTGGCATGTTTATTGTGTTGCATTTATTACTGATTTAGCTAAACATCTCTGCTTTAATGGGTTTCAATATAGTTTGATTATGGTAATGATGTTCTTATATAATGGTATTGGGTGATGGGTTTTCTTTAATTAGGCATTGGTTATAATGGATTTCCAAGAGGTTGCTCAGATGACAAACTTCCCTGGGCAAAGGTAAGTTAACCTCTGAAATTATTTCTCTTCCTGATGTTATTATTAAGGAAGATTAGTAGTACTAAAGTAAGTAAAATCCTGTTTCAGAAATCCAAAAATGAAGATCCTTTGGAGACAAAGTATCCGTAAGTCTTTTACATGAACTGCTCTTGATAAAAAACTAGCTGCTTATCTGATAATACATTCATGTCCTCAAGATTTAACACGTTGGGTTCTGTCTTTCTTCTATTATATTAGTTTTTTCTTCCATAACTACCTTTGGGCCTTATCATGTTTGTCATGCTGTAGTTATGTTTGTCATGCTGAAGTCAATGCTATCTTGAATACAAACCATGCATCTGCTGCTGGGCAGGTAAGTTCTATTCATCTACAATCAATTATTTTATTGAATGAACTTTTTTAAGTAAAAGAACTGCCAAAGCTTATTAGTTAATCAGGTTCTCCAGATAATATTCCACATTTTTTATTATTGATAATGGAGGCAACAAATTGATTCATTTCCATCAATATCTGTGCAGAAACTTTATGTTACCATGTTTCCTTGCAATGAATGTGCGAAGATAATTATTCAGGTTTGTCAATCATTTGACCTATTTTCATGTTTGAAATTGATTATTTGAACTACGGTACATTTTCATGTTGAATGAGGGTGTAAAATTAACAACACTTTGCTTCCATTACCCTAAGGTTCCCTCCGTTTACTTTTATTCAATTTCTACCAATTCATAGTTCTAATTAATTTATGTTAGCCTTTATATATATAACTGGATTGTGAAATTTGTTTGAGTTATTCCACATCACCTTGAATTCCTTGGAGGTGGAAGTTTAGTGCCTACTCAATGTGTTGGAATTTAAATCCTAGTGCTGGGGCGTTTTGAAGAGGAGCTCTGTTTGTTGGGTTATGAGTGCTGTGATTGGAGAGAAATGCTAGCCTATTGAGGATCATTAATACCTCCTTCCACTCTTTGCAAAGAATGACTTGTTTCGTTTCTTATTGGGACAAGATTCACAGGTATTATAGGAATGTCCCTTTAGCTAAGGGGCTAAGGTGCAGCTCTATATTGATTTTCATGTTAGTGTTTTTGTTTTCTTTTTCTATTTTTACATTTGGAAGGATCTCTTGTCCTTCACCCATATACTTTCCTCTTTTCTCTGTCACTATTTTGTAATCTAAACAAATTTCTAGCATGAGAAGTCCAGGTCCAAGAAATTTAGTGTCGGTTGTAAGTAAATGAAACACAAATAACTCATGGTTTAATATATACATATTAACACTAACATAAAAGTTAAGATTAGAAATTAGTTAGGAATTAAATGTGAAATTAACCAAATGGAAACAACTGCCAGGGAATCTACAAGATCTGAACTAACCACACCTTGCTGCGCAGTATTAGAATGTCACTACACCGTCTCCTAAATTCTCACGGATTATAAGAACTATTACACTTAAAAAAATTTCACTGAAATGTGGCAATTCCCAAGATTTTTGGGCTAATCTGTAGACAGGAATTTTGAAAGAAATCTAGTAATAGAATTGCCTTAATTATTAAGAAATCTTAAATTTGATCCCCCAGCTAGAAAATAAAACTAGAAGATTTAAAAAATTGTCCTAATCAGTGAATAGCTACAGGACCTGTAATTTTGTGGTGTTAAATGTATCAGTGTCAAGTGGCATATTGATACTGACTTGGCTAAAAATATTTATTTCCGGATATGAGATCTTCCAAAATTTGAATAGTCGATGTCTCTCAACTTCTATGAGGCTATGCTAAAAAGTGAGTTGAGTGTACTACTTATGACATGTAGCTCTTACCATCTGGATCATGTTTGTTCCTTCCATCCAGATGTGTCTCCTATCGGCTTCAATGCATCTCTTTCATATTCTTTTCCATTCGCTCTTCGTAGTTAAATTTTTATATAGACTCATCATATTTGCAGTCAGGTGTGGCTGAAGTTATATACTTTGTGGAGAAGAAGCTAAATGATTCAAACATTGCATACATAGCTTCACACAAATTACTCAAAATGGCTGGTGTTAAAGTAAGTGTTGGGGATTTGAATGGTTCCATTGAAGCTTTAATGCTATTTCTGTTCAGTTAAGCTATATTGAAAATTATGAAAAGCGGAATGCTTCTACTTTTTTGTATTAATGCAACATCTGTTCAACGTTTTCAAGCCCAAATTGGTGAAATATGTTATGTGGTTTTTCATGGTGAAAGGCATAATGACCTGAATTTGCTTTGTGGAAGAAATGTGTCAAATTTTGCACCCACAAGCTGGTGGCTTGGATTCTGATGTTAATTAATATTTGTGATTGCAGGCAAGGAAATATCAACCTCAGATGGACCAAATTTTAATAAAGTTTGATGAACCCTAGTTTGTTTTTTATTTTCTAGGTCTAATTGCTTTTTGTGCCAAAATTGACATTGGTGCAAAGCAGTGTTGTATTATCACAAAACAGAGCTTGTATCAAGCTGGAAAGTAGTTTTTGGTCCGTTAACTCAATCTTTAGCTCGGGACATGAGTCCAATAATGATAACCAATTAACCTTCATGTCAAGCACTGAGCAAATTGGCTCCCATCTAAAATTTTGCATTTTGATAGCTGCAACTGGATTTAATTTCCACAAGTAATTTCTAATGACCTGAATTGGGTCCTTCTAGTAAATATAAGGTCAACTGACGTGCGTTCCTATTATCCTGTTTATGTAATTTTAATAAACTTTATTGTGTTATAGGCATACAAAATTTGTATTCCTGCTGATCTGGTTATTCTTCTTCAGATCTTGTTTTGCTTTCTTGTATGAAGATTTTCGAAGTAATCCGGGTATCATGCTCACTTTCACAATTTGTGAGAGCAGCAACAAAGGAGGTAAAGCATTGGTTCCTTGAGTGTAAATTTACGGTCTTACTTCCTGGGAAAGAAAGCAAGAATCCTAATAATATTTAGAATTATTTTTTTAAAATACCCTAATGAATATCGTATGACTTGTGTGTGATCCAACTTAAGTACAAATGAAAGCCAAAACGTTTCTGTTTATCAATAAATTAGTTCAAAAAAGAAAATAACTCTACCATCTTTCTCTGGAAAAAAGAGAGCCGCTATTAATCAAGCATTAAGAGCCTCAAGTTGCCTCCGAAGATCATCAAGGTCATCAATAGAAGCTATCTCTGCAGGAACTGGAAGTTTCTGATATTCATCTGCACTTGGGAGCTCACGGGTAAGACCTTCTGGGAGATTGTCTGCAAAGAGGGAGAAAACTACAAATTAGATGCAGAGATAACTGTAAGAGCTTTCCAAGGGATGAAAATATGATAAAAGCTTCAAATTCAGATTATTTTATATGGATGACCTGTTGTAAAGATTCCTACAATAAAACTTTACATCGGTAATTAACTAAAAGAATCTGCTGAAATGAAATATAAAAATTTGTTGAAAATTTATTACGTATATGTATATATTAAACATGAGAACAGCAGACACAACTTAATGACAAAATGGTAGCAGCTTTTCTTCACAGTTCTCATTCATTTTTTACAAGCTAGTCTGATTCTTATTATATTTGTGATACGCCATGATCTAGGGCCAACTCATTTGCAGAGAACTGGCGCCGCACGTGCATTACACACAAAGAAGATATTTTAAAAAGAGAAGCAGCATTAACATTGGGAAAGCATTTAAGAGGCTACAACAATAAAAGAAGACTGCAGATATCTTTATTCTTGATGATTTTACATTGGTCTAGATAGTGCAATGCAGGAACAGCACTCGGATGTTTGATCAAGCCCATCCATATTCCGCAACTCACGAAAACATCCAATTTCATACAAGATCAGGGATAAGAAATAGAAAATACCTGAACTTGTGGCACCTGTTGTATCCACCTCGCTATCATCAACAACACTGATGAAACAAAGAAAGGATGTCAGTTAACATAGTGCTCCAGCTCCAGGGAAGTAACAATATATGGGCCACAAAAACTATGATTCAATACAGTTGATTCTGCTAATTCATATCTTTGTCTAAAAGAAGTAATGACTTCTCTTATATTGCAAGAGAGAGAGAGAGAGAATAATAACAAGGCTAAGTTATACCTTATGTTCCATTCATTATCGAAATGAAGAGGACCTTCTACACTTGTGGATGCTTCAGCTTGCATCTTGGCTTTAGCTGCAGCATCCCTGGCCGGCTTTGCAAGAATATAGTCATTCTGCAGTGCAATTATCATTTCTACCATCAGAAAACAAACCAAAATATCCGAAATATGTAGAATTTGTTCATTTAACCAGGGTGAATAAACAATTATTCACTTTAACTACCTGCCGCTGCAGACAAGCCACATTGGAGCATTGTGGATTTGGCTTCATTTGCATAGTCGGGAAATAATCTTTAAGAGAATTATAGCCCTGGAATCAACAAGTAAAGCGAACACTCACGAAACATTTAATACATCTTTCAGGCTGACATATCATTTCCATAAAGAGCATACAACTCTCCTGGATGGAGGAAAAGAGAGGTATAAATTTACCAAGTAGGGGGAAACGTATCCAAAACTTAGCAAGAACTTCAGTGTATTTTGAACTAAAAGCCCAGCAACCACTCCCTGAAATATTAATTCACATAACTGGATTTCAACCGCTAGTCATTTGAAAAGAAAATGATCTCTGTATGTAATCATGGTTGACATTCATAAAAGAAAAAAAAACCATCAAAACCTCCATTAAAAGAAGACTGTAAAAATGAGTAATTAAATTTTAAGAGTTAACCTGACAGCTAGATTAGTTTACTTCCACAAAATAAATGCTTCCAGGTTGCTTTGATTGCTCTAACATTGCTCAAGAGTCAAATCGACTTGATATAAATATAGTGATGAGAAAGATTACCATCGTAGTCGGTAAAGATGCTGCACAAACTCCCTCCCGCTTGAGTGTCCGTTCATCTACTCCAGATGCCACAACCTATTGGGAAAAGTGATGTCTAAGTTTCAGAGCTTAAAATAATTTTGTTAATTAACCTACAATACATGTGGATATTTTAAACAACAATGCTACATGAAAGCAATTTATTCAAGAGAAAAGGGACAAAATACCAGAGGAGGTGCACATGCAAAACAAGCAGTTTCTCCAGGAACCAGCAATTGTATATGACCTGAAACCGCATCTTCGGATACACCTATTTCAAACAGTTAATATGTTGGTAAGTCATATATTATCTTAAAATAGTGGATATCATGAAAGAAGAAGCATATAATGAGAACAATTTTGACAGAAAATATTGCAAAAATCAAAAGAACACAAGAAGATAAGTACAAGCAACAATTCACATAAATCGAAATATCTATATGCACAAATCTCCATGTGCGCACACCCAGGTCTATACTCAAGCCAAGAAGTTTGTTTTATTTTATTTTTATTTTTCTTTGAGGGAAAAAAGATCATGGTATTCAAAAAGCACAAAGGGGGTGCCAACCATGTACAAAAGATATGCATCCCTTTCAAAAGAGAAAAGATCAACAGATCATCAAAAATAAGACTCAACATTAGAAAAATGACTAAGCCAGTCGAGGTGTCAATGTGAGGGAACAGGGAACTAAGAGGATAGGAACGTTTAACGAACTATGAGAAGAGAAGCAAGAGAGTGACAAGGTCAAGGAAGATGGAAAACTTTTAATATGTAGTTCCTCATGATTAATCAGGTCATTAGATTATTCCCAACTTGGCGCGACCCATTAAAGGTCAACTCCTTTGAATCGTATCTTCCAATCAGCACTTTGGAGACAATTGAAGGCTGGTCAACCTCAACATCCTCACCTGTCCAGACTGGTTTTCCCACCACTTCATTTCAACCACCTTCAAGCTCAAGGCCAGCAACTTGACCAGCCAAAAACAGCCTTCACCACCCATCTGTCTTAGTACCTTTTTGAGAAAAGCATTTGCCACCTCCCTCCTTCATTCAGTTCCTTCAGTTCCAAGACATTCCCTCTCTTGTTTCTTCCCAGAGAAATATCAGAGTTGGTCCTCACCCTTATATCACACCACAAGTTTTGAGCCCTCTGATATAGAAATAACTTGAAGAAGGCCTTAGAATAGCCACAATTCTCCAACTAAAGAAGTAGATGGAGAAACAGTTGCAGAACCCATTGTCCAATGTGAAATATATCTAACCACCCTTCAAGAACAACGTTAAAGGATGCGAGTTCAATGACTGGGAATTTTCTAGGAGTATCTATCACCACATTGCTCTGACCAGCCAAGCTGGCTGAAGGAGACCACCCAGCAGAGAAATTTTCCTAACAGGGGTTCTCTCTCTAAGCCCTCACTGGACTCTCTAATTAATCTCAACACTTAAATAAGAATAAAAAGTTTTGTACGATACATATTTAAAAAAAAAAAAAAAAGTTTTACACGATACATATTTAAAAAAAAAAAAAAAAAGTTTTACATGACACAGCAAAAGGCCAGCATATTTTATAACAAGGATATCTAATCTTTCTAGGCCAAACTACAATGCTGCAGACAAATTGGTCAATGGGATTGACTTAAAAATGACTATTACAATGAAGAGAAACACGTGAAAAGCTCATAATAAATTAGGGGCATTAGCAAGTTCTATGAAACTCCAAATGCATTTCCGTGTCTGACTGGGATATGCCTGCACATAAAGTTAGCTACCAAATATGTCTATGGAATCACTCCAAGCCAAAGTGATAATTAAGTCAATCACTTTAGACAACTGAAAAGTAATCACTCATGAAAGGAGCATATGAACAAATGATTATAATTACTTTCTAGAATCTCATCACATTCAGAATCTGTATAACCAGTTGAAAAAGAAAATGATCAAATGACATCCTTATTGCAGATGTTAACTTTGTAAAGTAAGTTCAAACAACTTTGTTACAGAAAAAAAAAACTAGTAAGTTGCAGCATTTTCCTCACCAGACTCCATCCATGTCTGATTCAACTCATTGCAGGCCTGTACATCAAAATGAACAATTTGATATTCAATGTTAGAACATCTTATACTTGTAAACATAAACTGGATATGTATATGTAATTTGTAAACTAATTAAAAAAAGAGGGGGGGGGGAAAAAAAACTTCGCTGTAGAACTCAGTGTTACCTGGTTGACAGCCATCCTGGCTTCGTAGTTATCTACACAGCTTAATACAAGATCCACTCCACTACCTTCTTTGCTGGGGCGAAAAGATTTGTTTCTTAAACTTGACATAAAGGTCTCAAAACCTTGAACTGTTGTGATGTTCAGCGTATAGCTCTAAACACAACATGGATCAATCAAATGATGCAAAAACAAAGCTCATTTGTTTTAACAAAAAAAAAGTGCCCAGTTAATCTTGTACCGGTTGTCCTAGGAATTAACTATGTGCAAAGAGACATACAACTGTTAATACAATATGATCGATACATTTACTTGTCTTGCTTTCCAACCAAAAGAACCAAGGCTGTATATTAGCAGGAATGACGAAAAGTAAGACTGCATTTGAAGACCTCCCTTAAAGAGCTTCTATGTGCAACACATAAATCAGACAGAAGGGAGAAGATTAAGATTGCATTTAGAAGATCATCGGAAAAAAGCTTATCTGCTTTTTATGTGTGGACATATAATGCTCTAACTTAAGCTGCCAATGCAAAACAGCAAAGCCTATGACATTTGCTAGTTTCTCAAAAATATTGTTGACAAAATGAGTACTAGTTTGGCAGTATCTGAAAGAGTTAGGCAGAAGATTTACCTCTAGCACCACATCGGGATTTATGTCTGAAAGAGTCTGAACAGCAGCATCGGTCTTTGTCATGCCAACCTAAAAACAATCAATCAAAATCAACATCACTGTGGAGTTCTGTGTAATACTTGGGGAATAAAACAGTAGAAATACTTTATCTTTTGAACAAATTAATTGAAAGAAATATAAATGAGTGTCTATAATTATGTGAATAAACACCTGATCCGGACGAAAAAACAATCTGTTCATGTTTGCCAGCTCCACTTTGTCATAGTCATACAACAAAAGGCGGCCAATGCCACATCTAGTCAGCATCTCAGCTGCAACACTTCCCACACCACCAATTCCCTGTGATGCCATAAAATCAAAAAGTCAAATATATTCAAATGTCAGGAAGAAACAGGTGATTGCAGTAAAATCCTTGAAATACACATGTAACTCACAAAGGGATTTTTGCTTTAATATAGTTTTTATTTGAACTCAATGAGTAAAAATCAATGAAATGCAAGTCTTCTTGGTAAAATAAACTACTACGATTTGTGAGTGCTTCTAGAGTAACTCATAAGAAGCACCAGCCTTTCAAAATAATAAGGGAAGTGATACTTATTGAGTAGCATGGTACAATGACCCTATTACCAGGAAAGCTATATATTTTTCAAGCATCCTGCAAAACATGGGTTAGTGCAGAAAGGCCTCCAGGCCTTTGCTGAAAGAGTGTATAGGCAAGAAGAAGTCTACTCTGCATTTCAAAAAGCAAGGGAAACAAACCACTAAATAATTAATGAACACTTATAAACAATGTGATGAAAGGTACCAAGATAGGGTCATCAAATTAATATTTGCAATATTTTCAGCATGGACATTATTCTGCAAGAAGAAAAACAATAGCAGGGAAAGCTTGTATTTCTTGTATCTATTAAAATGTGCAGATATTTACATTTTCTTTCTTCCTTTATTGCATTACAACTCTATTTGGGCCAGCACATGCTGTACTCTACCAAAAATTCCTATTTTCTCTTCAAACTATTTCAATTTATTCAATACAAAATTGAAGCACGGCAATGAATGGGCAATTCCCTATTGTGTACTATACATATAAAATAACCATTGGATACCTATAGTTATTTACCAACTTATGCTATGGGGTTTGCATATGCTCATAATTGCTGTTATATCATTCCCAAGACAACTCCTAGAATATAGTTTTCCCACATACTAAACAGAGCCTTAAGTTATCTTCTTATATGGTTTGATGCAAAGCGCAAACAGAGACGTTTTACTTCCCATGTGAAAACCTTAAGCATAAAAAAGAAGGGGAATGTTGAAAGAAAAGATAAATACAGACAACTATGGCAACTGAGAACTCTCTAATTCTTTCATAGTTCTCCACAATACCCATCCTCTGAAGCGCCATAAGCCTACTGTAAGGATTACTATCGACCACCTCAGCACTCATATCCTGCAACCGAGTCCATTTTCACTGGCATCAGCATTAATACTAAGGACCATAAAAGTAATTATGATCTTCAGGGGAAAGTAAATGTAAATGCAATGGATTGTAAAAGATGGACCTTGACTTTTGAACGGCGAACAGCTGCCGACTTGGCAAGGTTTGTGACATGCTCAACTCGTGATCGCAGCTATAAAACACAAAAAAAAAAAGATTACTCAAATGCTTATACCCCATGATTATACAAGTCACCATTACAAACCCTAAATTTCTCGTTGCAGAGAAAATGATTAATGTGAGAACTAAGAAAAAACTTGGCAGGATACAGAGAAAAGCCCAACAAGGAACTGAACCTGGTTCAACCAATTAGGTTTGTGAGGATAATTTCTTTCCCGTTCCTCTCAACTAGAGGCAGCATAAATATATAACAAGAATTTATACTGCATAATTTATCTTTTAGAATTCCTCCTAGAGACAAAACAGCCTGAAAGAATCAATACGTTTGATAGATTATTTCAACAACTCACAGCCAAAAACATGCAAAGTTATAAACTTTCAATCACAAACCACATTTGATAAATTAGGAAACAAAAATTTACAGAATTCACTTCACGCCCCAATTGATTCACAAAAGGTGGAAACAGAACAATCACATAGATCAACCGAGATCAACCCCCCAATGCAAATTAATTTCGAAGTCCCTAATCCAGATGCTCATCGAAAAAGAGAAAATTCTAAACTTGTAACACTCGATCGAATCCCCTCAAGAGCACTTACAAACACAAAAGATACATAAAATTTTCCTTTTAAAAAAGGACATAAATCGAAAATACCTTGTCGAGAGAAGCAAGGGAAGAAGGATCATGCAGTGATTGCTTGAGAGAATCGAGATCATGAAGCAATCCATTCAATTCCGCCTCCATTGCCAGTCTCTACTCTGAACTCCCTGTCTCTGTAGCTCTGAATCTGTTCGTGCTTTGTCTGAATCTAATAACACTGCGCAAATATTGTGATTATGTCTCCAATAAATTTGCTGCCTCCGTTCTCAGAGGCCCAAGAGGCAAGATCGAAACGACGCCGCCTAAGACCCAAGCCCTTAGGGCTTTTCAGGCCCAACTTTATCAGAAGACTCCATTATTTTTTTTATAAAAAAAAACTTCTTATCAACATATAACAAGTTGGGTTTATGTTTTTCTTTTAATAATTTGATTTCATACATAAAACTTTTACACTTTTTGGTACTCTATAATAACAAATTTTATTTTCTTAAAATAATATTTCATATTTTTAAAATAAAATTTACTAGAGTAATTATATTATTAATATATATGTATATATATATATATATATATATATATTGTGGGTGGTAGTGACTAAACATGACAAATTGGTTTACAAGTAAATGTGGATATATACCACAACCATAACCAAAACAATAAAAATGGATGTGACTCTTTTCATACTACTTGGACAAGTCCTAACCTTATCTCAAATTCAAATCCCATTTTTATTAGAATTTATGGACCCTACAATATTATTATTATTATTATTATTATTTTCAATTTCTATATTATTATATATTATCCCAACTTGCTTTATTCTATCCCAATACCCAACTAATTAATTAAATTCAAATTATCATTAAAAGTAAAATTTTTTAAAAATATTTTTTTTAAAAAAAATAGGGTAGTGAAATTTACAATAAAAATATTATTTAAATTAAATATTATTATAATTTAATGTTTTGCAAGAGGGAAAATGGAGTGGAGGAAGAGAATGATTAAATTTCATGTGATGGGAAGAAGGAAAAAATTAATAAGAAGTCTTGATGTTGTTAATTGCAATTCAATTCAATGCATTGACCAAGAACCTTAGAGTGCACGTCGCCTACGACTTTTTACAAACAACTAAGAAATATATACATATATATATATGTGTGTGTGTGTGTGTGTGTATTATATAATTCATGTATATAAAATAATTCCCGTCATCTATTCGGACGCCATCTATTTCACATCAATATTTTTATTCTTGAAATTCCAATATGATAATTACCGCTAATTAAAACAATTGGCTTTTTATTTTTAAGTGAATCACACGTAAATGATATTGATATATATACATATATATTTGGATATAATACTAATTATTAAATTTCTTGTTTTAAAAAAAAAAATTTGAATTTGAGTGGAATTCGAACTTGGTAGTTAATATTTAATTTGATATCTTAAAAATGAATTTATTTATCTATTAATGACATTAAATATATTTTATTATAACGTATACTATGTTTTTAAGATTTATTGATTTTCCATATGATCTATAATATATAATTTTATATACTAAAATAAAATTTATTGACTTTGGTTTTGTACATTTTGAGATTAATTGAGAGGTCAAGCTTGACTCCAAATTCAAGTCTATTAATTCTGTAATAACTGAGTTTTTGGGTTGTGAAAAAAAATGAATGATAATAATAATAATAATAATAAGGATATATATACATATATGTATAGAAGAGGGAGAGGGGTGAGAAGGAACAGTGCAGGTGGTGAGATAGGAATGGACGGTTAGGATGATTAGTAGGTGGGGTATAAATAGGATGAAGAAAAGAAAAAAAAAAGAGAAAAAGGAAAAACAGGAAGGGAAGAGAGGAAACTGTCGATAGAAGATGAGAGACAAAGAGAGAGAGAGAGTCGGAGAAGGAAGAGATGAAAAGAGAGGAACGGAGGAGTCGGTCGAGGACGAGAGAGGGAGCTGGAGAA